AAAAAAAAATCATGCATGTCAGGCCTCAAGGTAGGTTAAACAGCCCACAGTATGGACTTTTTCATATGAAGATGTCTTTTTTAAAAAAAGTTAGTACTTCCTTTATTTTATTTCTTTACAACTCTGTGATTGTTTTATGTGCATACTCTATGGCTTAATTTTTTTCTCAATTTACTTAGACATTTTTTACTGGGTCTCATGTGAACATTTTAAGCATTTAAACATAATATAGAATCAGCAATGTTCAAATACAGTTCAAGAGTTCATCTTAAAAAAAACCCCAACAAACCAAAGGGATTTGTGGCTCTTTCAAGCTTACTTAAGAAACAGTCTGAATTATAACAAAGAAATAAGCCCAGTAACAACAGCAATAACTAACAATATTAACTAACTGGGCTGTTATAAGCCCAGTAACAACAGCAGTAACTAACAATAACGAAAGACTATAATGCCTGGAAAAGTTGAAGGCAACAGGAAAAGAGGCAACAGGAAAAGAGGAAGACTGAACGTGATATATATTGCCCAACAAAGTTTGCAAGACCTGAGTCAGTTTACAGTGGGGTCTTGACATAAGAACGGCTTGAGTTAAGAACATTTTGACTTAAGAACCACTCTCTTAGGAAAATATTGACTTGACTTACATACTTAGATTTGAGTTAAGAACTGAAAAAAACCCACGTGGGAGGCAGGGAAAGTGCAAAATTTGAACTTTCAGTTAACTGTTGGCCAGGGAAAAGGGTGCCTGTCTGCTTCCTCACTCCTCCCAGCGTTTAGAGAGTGGATTGGGAGACAGTATTCAGACTGCCTGGACTGTCTTTTCCCTGCCTTCCCTGAACCTTTCTTGACCTAAGAAAAAAAAGAAACAAAATATCCCCCTCTAGTGGTCGGAGGCGGAATAGCAGCTTCCCATTAGTTTCTATGGACGGAAAAGAGCAGATACGGATCAAATGGTTCTCAATGCATTCCTATGGGAAATGCAGATTTGACCTGAGAACTTTTTGACTTGAGAACCACCTTCCAATACGGATTAAGTTCTCAAGTCAAGACCCCACTGTATTACAGAATGTTTTCAAAGTCATTAATTCATGTCATCACAGGTCAGAAATTATTTAATAGCAACTAGAACAATAGCTGCTTGGTGTTGGAACCAGAGAATTGGTGTCAGCTTATTCCAGAAGAAAAAAAATATGATTCTGAAATATAGCTGTGGACACACAAGTGCAAGTACATCACCTCCTCCATCATTCTTAAAAAGCTTCTGGACAGTAATTCTAGTTAATGCCTGTAATCCTGTTAGGTGGGTTCTGCTGGTACAATAGGAATGATGTCATTGTCAGAGGCAAATTGCAGCTGATTAAAGGCTTCCTTTTATGAATTTGGATGCATGTTACTTTTTTGTGTGCAAAAGGTGCACACCCTGAAATAACAAAATGAAGCCTTTAATCAGTGATGATCTGCCACTGCTGATGGCATCCATCTCATTCTGTAGGCAGAACTGCTAAACAAAATTTCCGCTAGTGTGCCCCTGGGGATACTAATTCTGTTCAGTTGCATGCTATGTCTATGGCCAACCAAGAGCCCTATTTGAAATGATTCCTATTGAAAGTGATACATGCCACTATTTGTGTTTGCATATTTATATTCTGTTATGGCTATGTGCTCCACATGCTACAATTTGGACCTGATCTGACCTGTCATTCATTCAACTTCATTTCACATAAACAAAATCTAAAATATGTGGTTCATTTGCTGTCCCCCATCTTTCTGAATCCTACTGAAAACCTTGACTAGGATTCTGTTATATTTGTAGGAAAGCCCATTTTCCAGAAGCCTCACACCTGGTCCAAGGTGCCCCAGTTCAGCTCAGATGTTGAGCTGCACCCAAATCAGATGCCTCCCTCTGTTCTCCAAATCACAATGCCTTTCAGTGAGGATTTCAGCAACAAGTAATTTGGTCAAGGCTCTCCCGCTCATTAAAATGAAATCAGTTTTTTTAAAAAAATGAGTACTCTAACACTTATCCCAGCAGCTGTATCCATTCCTGATACAGCTGCACAAATGTCAACAGTCCTGGATTTATGGCAGCTGAGCATTTCTCCTGGATACAAATGAGATATTGGAGACTGTTTTTCTCTGCTCCACAGTGCTCTGCAAAGGGCTGTCTGGATTTGCTAGGGATTTAGATTTACTAAGGGGATTTCCTAATCTAATCAACATACTTATTGGTTAACACAGCAGTTAATAAAAGGAACAAATCTCCAGCTTCAAATTCCTGGGTCCCATTTATCATGGTTGTTTGAAGAAAGCTGGAAGGTGCTTGATGCTTGAAGGATAAAGACAAACAGTTTTCATTATACTTGCAAGGATGGAGCTGGAAGGATTCGTGGAGGGTAGGCACGTCTGTGTAATGTGAAGCCAAAATATACATTACTTGCAGATCAATTCAGGAATCAGATTAGTCTTCTACAATAAATATCTTGTAGGGTTAGTTGTTGATCACCCTTTTAAGTTCCCAATATATGTCAAATGACAAAAGCACTACTGCCATCAGCTGTGCTCAGCAGAAACATAGCTCTAATAACTGCACTGAATTTTAAAAGTTTTACAGTTCAGCCTATACATATCTGCTCCATAATAAGGTAAAGGTTCCCCTTGACATTTAGTCCAGTCATGTCTGACTCTAGGATGCGGTGCTCATCCCCGTTTCCAAGCCATAGAGCCAGCGTTTGTCCGTAGATAGGTTCCATGGTCACGTGGCCAGCGCGACTAGACACGGAATGCCGTTACCTTCCCACCATGGTGATATCTATTTATCTACTTGCATTTTTACATGCTTTTGAACTGCTAGGTTGGCAGGAGCTGGGACAAGCGACGGGAGCTCATTCCGTTGCATGGATTCGATCTTATGACTGCTGGTCTTCTGGCCTTGCAGCACAGAGGCTTCTGCGGTTTAACCCGCAGCACCTCCATGTCCCACCTGCTCCATAATAAGTTCCACTAAATAGAACTGGGCTTATTTCTAAGGAAGAGGATATGAGGGTTATAGACTTAATTTTAAAAAAGAAAACCACAGTCAGTCAATCAGAGTTGCAAGCTATATTCTGTGATGCAAAAGTCCATTTCACCCAGCTTCCAATCCCAAAGACAGGACAACAGAAGTTAATTTCAATTGTTACTACAACTACGGTAGGTTATAACTTGTCAACATATTCAGGAATAATAGTAGCAGTGAGCAGGCAGAATAAATGAAACATCCTGAAACATAGCCCATACAAAGTTTTTTTTTTTTTAAATGTAAAATAAGATCTTGTACCAGCCGACAGATATTATAACTATGAAAAGAATCCCTGTTAGTTGTCCAGGGTGATGTGATGTCACGGTGCTTTGAACTTCCAGCTGTTCACCAGGATGAAAATGTGTGCAAGGGCAAAACAAGTCTTTAGTGGTTGCCCATGGTACAAGCAGAGGGGGCTGTGTTCAGAGTGATGTGGTGCTCTCCCTCATTCATCTACAGTCTACTTATGCAAGCCTATAGCTGCATGTAAAATAGCTGCAGGAAAAAAAAGGTAGCTAGGAATTACAATCTAGAAGTATCTGGAGGGCTATCATCACCCACCCCTCTTCAACAGTTTTCTAAATTGGCCCATTTATATGTACTTCAGAACCAGTTACTTGCTTACTTCTGCCCTCTCTGTTTTTTTCTGTGTCTATTCTGTCCTTGGAGTAACACATACAGATATGGAGACATAAATGGGCCCTCATTCAATAAATCTTTTGAAGAGCAATGTGGGAACTATCTGTTTACTGCTATATTTTCTGTCTCCACTCCTCCCAAAGTACTGTAAGATGTTATCTGCTTTCAATAAAAGCTGGTGTTCTTTAAATAATAACACCCTTTCCCTCTTATCCTCTTTCAGATACAAGGCAATTGTAAATCCGATGGACATTCAAGCATCCAGTGCAGTCTTATGGACCTGTATTAAAGCTGTTGCCATCTGGGTAATTTCCATCTTGCTCTCAGTTCCTGAAGCAGTATTCTCTGAAGTGGCACACATCAACGATGCAGACAATGTCAGTTTCACACAATGCATACGGTATCCCCTGAAGGATGATTTGCACCCAAAAATCCATTCAGTGATGATACTTCTGGTATATCTCCTTATTCCACTCACTATCATTAGTATCTACTATTACCATATTGCCAGGACTTTAATTAAGAGTGCACATAATCTCCCCGGAGAATACAGTGAACAATCTAAAAAACAGGTAAGCTAACTTCACATGAATCTTAGATGTACTTTAAAATATTAATTTCAGGCATAGATTCATACAATAATGAAGTTGGAAGGGGGCCTGTAAGGCCATGGAGTCCAACACCCTGCTCAATACAGGAATACAAATCAATGGATATCTGCCAGGTGGTTGTCTAAATTTCTCTTGAATGCCTCCAATGTTGGAGCACTCAGCACCTCCTGAGATAACCAGAAAATTATGTGACACACCCTTCAGTTTAACATGCAACATAAGTTGAAAAATAGGCTTTCTCCATCAAGATGGTTTGAGAAGCACTTTTCATAACACTGAATGTTTTGTCTGTGTCAAGGAAACTAAGACAAGTACAGCTGAGCAAATTCACCTGACCCACAGATATTTTTGTAGGGCTTTCCATAATTCACTGCAAATTCTGTCTGTTTGCATGGCTCTTAGAACAGTTTCATTTGGTTCTTGTAGAGACCTAAAAACAGACGTCAGTAATGTCAGTGCTGTATGCAAACTTCACCATAGTCTGCAAAGGCTTAAGTCCTTCAAATATCTAGATTCCAGGAAGACCTTGGATTGAAGCCAAACACTACTTGGGTTCCAGATTAAATTTTAGGCATTTGATCCTTTATCTTCCCTATCTCTAGATAGTAATAACAGGTGCATTACTTGTTGCTTTTTTGCTAAATTATATTAACTGTATGATATGAGTCATACAAACATGGTTATTGGTTTAAGAATTGTTTGCTATGTCACAAAAATACAGCATTTGGTGGAAAAACAGTAGGCAACTTAAACAACATTAAGGCCATCTTTATAAATATACTTCTCCCTTTAACAGTGTTGGGGCTAGGGGTGCAGGACCCCCGTGTAGTTCATAATCCATGTATAACTCTCATGCCCCCCTCCAATATAATTAGTCCGACTACTTCCATTGGACCAGGTGCTGCTATACCACCAACATGAGGAGCCTTGGTATGTCAGAGACCCACCTTTCTCAAGCTATTCTTCTCCTGGAGCAAAACAGAAGCACGGCATTTATTGAACATTTATTTATTGAACATTCATTTATTAAATTGATTATTAAAAATCCACTTATAACCAAAACTGTGCTGCTCAGACCTGTGCAATTCAAGGGATAACTGTAGAGCTTGAACTGGTGGATCTCAGGCAATTTACCTGGAGCTTTAATAAGTTGCAGTCTTGAGCACTATTGCTTGAAAGTCAAGTCCACCAAAATTCCTTCCAAGAGAAATTGCTTTGCACTAATCTTTATGAGTAATTGCAGTTAGTGTGACATTTGTATAACACGTTCATGAACACAGTAAGTACCAGACTATACTTATAGTGGCTGCTGATCAGTTACTAGGCACAATTTAAAGTGCTGGTTTTACCTATAAAGCCCTAAACAGCCTGAGTCCAAGCTATCTCAAAGATTATATCTCCCATTATGAGCCAGCTCGGGTGTTAAGATCATCAGGAGAAGCTTTTCTCTTGGTCCTGCCACATTAAAAGGTAAGTCTGATGGGGACACAGGAGAGAGCCTTCTCTTTTGGAACTCCCTCCCACAGGAGGGAAACTTTGGAACTCCCTCCCACAGGAGGCCAGATTGGCCCCATCTTTGCTATCCTTCTGCAACCAGATAAAGACCTTTCTCTTCAGGCAAGCCTTCCCTTGGTAAACCAGCTACTTGTGTGTGATTTTAGATAGATTGTTATGCATTGCTGCTTTGACTGGATTTTTAGTACTACTTGTGTTTTCCATTTTTGGGGTTTCCATTTCTCAGAGTGACATTTTTTTTTTGGTATACTTATTGATCTTTGCCTTAAAATTGCCTGTTAATGTTCTAAGAAGGCTCCTTATTGATTTTCTTTAGTTTTAAATATTGTCTTTTAATGATATTAACCACTGTTATATACTCATTGCTTTCAACTTTAAATATTGTCGTTCATTTTTGTAAGCCACCTTGGGTCCTTTTCAAGGAGAAAGGCAGGGAACAAACAAACAAACAAAACAAAACAAAACAAGCAAGCAAGCAAGCAAGCACCTGCTGTGAAAAGATTAGAGTATAGCCTTTCAACAGGATGCACTGTTTGGGTAGAAGCCATTGGACCAATAGAAAATTACCGTGTCATGGGTAAGAAAGCAGCAGAGAAAGCGTATTCCTTCACATGCAGCCTGTCTGAATTTTCATCAGGCTATGATTAATTAGCGGGAGGTCTGGTCCTGCACATCTAGGTATTCTTACATTTTGTTCTGCTGTGTGTTCGTGTAACCTGAGACAGAAAATGACTGAGAGTAATTTTTGCTTTCTCCTAGACCTTGACAGACTATGTCCACTTTCAGCCCCTCCCCAAATGCTTCCCAAATAGCAAATCATTTCCACAGAAGCCTTTTATGGGGGAGGGGGGGTGAATTGCCATTTATATGTAATTTCTCCTCTTCCACCACCATCCCTATTCTAGATATAAATTGCTTGTTTTAATAATATCTGAAAGGCAAACTGGATGACAGCAATTGTTTATTTGTTTGCCTGTTTTGCAGAGGTGCCCTCCTCCATAAGACTTATGTTTATCATGATAGGCAATTTTCTCACCAGTGTCCAGATACATTGCATTTAGCATGTTTTCCTTTATAATTGGTCCTTTGGAGATCAACATAGGCTTAATTTGAAAGTCTTATTGCTGAGCCACATATCTTTTAGTCCTGCAGTGGGAGGGAAAACAGCCTAATATTCCTAGGGAATATTTGTTTCTTTCAAAATCTGAGCACTAATTTGAGAATGAAAGAATGCTGGATAAAGACATGAGAAGGAAGGAAAAGCTAGTTCTTTGCCACTGTTGTCACTTCTGGTCCCCTTTTACACATGGAGGGTGATGATAGATCTGTTGCAGAGGACCTCTGATATCCTTGGGCTGTCTCCCTCTAAAGAAAGCCTGGGGAAAAAAATCAGGGTTCCATCACACATCGAGAGCTTACATGGATAGTGGAGGCTGTTACATACAGCACTGATGTTACCTGTCTGTCATGGGTTGGAGGGAAAGTTCCATCCTATGGGGAGTGGAAGGCGGGACATCAGGAGGAGGGGCTGTACTGTATATATATGTGGAGTTTGTGTGGAGAAGTTAGGGGAAGCTGAAGGAGAGCTGAAGGAGAGCTGAGAGAAGAAGCTGGTGTGGGAGTCTGTGTGTCAGACAGGGTACTACTGTGTGTCAGTCAGTACCAACCTGATAGGTTCAGGTGTCTGTATGGGTAGCCAGAACTGATAGGTTCAGGGTCTGTGCTTTATTTAAAGGTGTTCTGTGTGAACCAACCTGGTGTATGTATGATTGAGACTAAGCCACGTTACTGTATCTTATTCATTTGATCATTTTATTTTCCCTGTGTGTTATTTAAATAAACCTTATTCCTTTGTTTGTTTAAAAATCCATTCCTGGTCTGTGTGACTCCTTACAGGGAATGGTTGGTGGCAGCTTAGTGAAACTGTGGCATATCCCAGTAGGTCTGGGGTTGTCACATTGATTGGTGTCCAGCGTGTGGGATACGACTGGTCCAGTTGTCCAGTGGTCCAGCAAAGCCTTGGCAAGTGTGCCCAGAGCAAGGGGGGTCTAGTCAGGGACAATCTGAGGGCGCGTAGGTAATCTTCTAGGCGTACCTCACGGGGAGGTGCGCTAGTGGAAGAACGTGCCAACT